TTTAAATTTTTTTTTGTATTTTTTTTGTATCGGCAACCTTAGTAGTACTGCCATCTACCACAACCTTATAAACCCCAGAATACATGTCGTTTTTACACAAAAATCAATCAAAATTATTTTTTCCCCTAAAATTTTGAAAGATTTTTACTTTCAGTCCACTTTCACTCATCGTGGTGTAAAAAAACGTACTGACACTACTATGGTAAGTTTTTTTTAAAACTAACCAAGATAGAAAAACTTCTGTGTGGCACAGGATTTTTGCTGAAAAATGTTGCATGAATCAAAACAAAGGGTACAAATATTAACATTTATTTTATTTTTTTTGCATTATTAATATTACAGTAAATGTTCGAATTGTTGGCCACCGGCATTAATAATAATAATAATAAATCTTTATTTCGGATAACAAATGAGATCCATATCACAGATTTTAGAAAAATCACAAAATAATAATAATAGTACAGCTAGGTGGAAGGAGAAAGTAAAATGACACGCACGCACGCACGCATTCACGCATACCCATACGCACGCAAGCACACACACACCACACACACACACACACACACACACACACATACACACACACGCGCGTGCGTGCGCTCGCAGCCATACATACACACATACACACACAGGTAAGTCAGCCATGCAGGACGTTAATAATTTGCCTTATTATAGGACAGTCATGTTTTGTGCTATAACACCCAGGATACTGTTGGAGCTATTCCTTGTTCTGCTTAGTAGCGATGCGGCTTTTTTGCGTATTATCGCGTCAAACCCGTCAGTACGGGCCTCACAGAACATGCCTGAAGCGCTGCAGTAGCGGGGCAGCCCCAAAAGAACTGTAAATTAATTGTTATATTGCACCTTTAATGCTTTATACGTCCTTTGTGTGTAGTTGACCCAAAGGGAGCACGAATAGAAAGACTGGCAGTATGCCTTAAAAAGAGTTATTTTAACGGCATTACTGCATCGTGCAAACCTACGGGCTAACATATTACTCCGACTCGCTAAAGCCCTACGCTCCCTCTCCATGTCCATTTCATCACGCAAATCCTCGGTCACGTAGTGTCCCAAGTATCTGAATTGTGATACCTTCGATAAAGCAGTGTTGTAGAGTCTGATAGGTGGTATGTACGTGCGACTCTTGTTATTAGCTTTTAACAACACAAACTCACTTTTCTTTATATTATAAATTAGACCGTGTTCATTTGCATAAGCCTCACAGATTCCCAGAAGCTTTCTGAGCGCACTGATCGAGGAACTCAACAACACCATGTCGTCGGCGTAATTTTGGTTGTTGACACACTTTCCATCCACATGGCAACCGACCTTAGTGCTGCTGAATCTCTCGAGCAGCTCATTTATATACAAGTTAAAAAGTTGAAGTGAACTTATTCCACCTTGTCTCACGCCACATTTCAACTCGTACGGTTCAGAAAGCTTATCTGCCCATTTTACATGATTTGCTTGATGATTGTACCAATAGCGGAAGATACCCAGAAGATCATTAGAAAAATTACATTCGGCAAGTTTTTTCCATAAAATATGATACTACACCAGGTCAAAGGCCCTCGACAGGTCTATAATATCTGACTGTATGTTTTAAACCTAATATTGCACTTTCTGTTGACAGCCCTGCCCTAAAACCAAACTGTGTTTCATGAATCTGAAGAACTTTTTCTAGCTCATTGCTTAGTAGCCTGTCGAGCACCTTTGCCGTCACTGTTGCTAAAGAGATAGGCCTGTAATTGCTTTTATCTGAAATGTCTCCAGTCTTATTCTTCACTATTGGTACAACTATAGTTTTAATCAAATCTCTAGGTAGATACGCATGACTTATTCACAGTGAATAAAAGATGTTCAATGCTGAGACCGTCATGACCAATTACTTTTCCATTTAATACAGGCATGGCATCGCCTTAAAAAAGATCTTTTTATTCGTCGTGCATATCGTCTATCATTGATAGGATCCGTAGCCTGAGTGATATTTTGGCGAAGCTCATCCAATGTTGAAATGGGTTTTGAGTAAACCCTGTCTTTGAGACAACCCCAGTAGAAGAAGTCCAGGGGGTTTAGGTCGGGTGGACTGGGTGGCCATAAGATAAGACCAACTCGCCCGATCCAACGTCGTGGGTACTATCATTTTGAAACCACATGTTTTGTAAGTCACGCAAAGGCACGTCTTCTAATAATTCTGGCAAGTCGTTTTGTAAAAAGTTCAAATAACTATTTCCATGTAAGTTTCCTTGTAACTCAAAGGGCCCAATTACTTTTCCATTTAATATGCCCGTCCATAAGTTAATCTTGAATTGATATTGGTATTTGTCTTGTCTCATCAGGTGCGGATTTTCATTGCTCCAACTATGTAAGTTGTGAAGATTTAAATAGCCATTTTTTTTACAGGTTGTTTCATCCGACCATAGAACTTTATCTAAGAATTGGGGATATTCCCTGTGCTTTTGCAGCATCATACGGCAAAATGCGACCCGTAGTGGATACTCCCGCGGTAATAACGTCTGCACACGCCTGTAGTGGTATGGGTGAAGCCTGTAACGCTTAAGAATTCGATGCGCAGAACTTTTTCGGATTCCCGTAGCTAGTTCTATGGCAAGTACCGAGGTAGTCGAATCGTTTTCTATTTCATTGAGAACTTCTTCATCGCGTCCCAATCTAGGTCTTCCAGCGTTTCTCCTGGCAGATGGTAAACGACCCTCCGCAAACGCTTGATGTACATTAATAAATACTTGATAATCAGGGTATCTTTGAGCATTTGGCTACCTTTCTCGATACAATCTGCTAGCAGCGTTAGCATTGCATCGGCATTCTCCATAAATGAGATGCATATTAGCGTATTCCAACGGTGTGTACGGTAGCGGCATGATAAACGCTAAACAGTCCAAAATACACCAAAAGTCCAATCCACAAAACACACAATCACAGTCCAAAATAATGCCAGGTCAGTTCAGTTTGCAGATCACCAGTCCAAAAAGCAAAGCCAAAAGTCGTTAGTACGAGAGCCACATCAATTGAATACGGAACGGTGCACAGTAAACAAAGGAGAAGAGTGTACTGACTGACTTGTTGAGAACACTAAAGCAACTTGTCTACCTGCCCTATTGTTATTAAACAATGAACATCATCTATCTCTCTCTAACGTATAGTCTCCCTCTATCTATCGCTCTCTAACTTCTAAATTTTACTGACTACGCACATCTGCAATTCAAGTTCTAAGAACTTGCAACAAAAACCTTTTTTAGCACATAGTGTAATGTAGTGAAAGTGATTAACTAGCAACAAAAATTTATGTTCAAAATTTCGGTTCTTGTTTAGAAATAGGCTTTTTTTGTGGCTAGTTTTCTAAGAGTGTTATACCATTTTAGAATCTTGGTTAGTTGCGTCAATTTTTTAAAAAACTTGCCATAGTAGTGTCAGTACTTTTTTTTACACCACGATGTGTGAAAGTGGACTGAAAGTAAAAATCTTTCAAAATTTTAGGGGAAAAAATAATTTTGATTGATTTTTTTGTAAAAACGACATGTATTCTGGGATTTATAAGGGTTGTGGTAGATAGCAGTACTACTAAGGTTGCCGATACAAAAAAAAAATACAAAAAATGTGCTCATGGTAGTTAAAAATACCATTTGGGGGTATCGATTTTCGAAGAATTTAATTTTTTTTGCAATTTCAAAAACAATATTTAGATTTTTTTCTTTTTATTTTTTCTCGAGTAATCATGAGCAGGTCCACCCTCTGGTGCCCGTTTACCGTTGAATTTTGGGACACGTTGTATATATATATATATATATATATATATATATATATATATATATATATTAGCGCAACGAATGCTGTTCTAAAAGTAAGGTAAACGTATTAAAGTCTAGTTTAAAAAAATCGCAAGTTCTAGGGACTTCAAATTATATAAATTGGATGAAGTAATAAAGTAGAAAAAAATTGTTGCATACGGCATTCGTGTACACCACACTTTTGGGTGGGGCAAAGTTCTATAGAGAATCTGGCATTCACCTTTGGCCGATTATTGCAAAATAACCTTGTATGTATATATTTTTAGAGATCATAAAGCAAGTTTTCACCTGCCTCAATAGCTCACCACACTACTGGTTGAGTGACAGAGAATGCGAACAGCCATAAAGTCCGTTCATTGTCACCTAGTTGTAATGTGTAAAGTAATAAAGTAGTAATAAAGAATAAAATGAATAAAGAAATAAATCTAGGCTATATTTTATCTCAAAAATTTAGCCGTTTTCAAAAAAAATGGTTATTACGAATGAAGCCGGGGCTGGTGGCTAGTATTATTACTTATTTAATGCAATATAATTATAAGTTATCGTCTTTGCCGAAAGTGGGTCGAGAGGACATTATGAAACTATTTATTAGGAGGTCGACGAACTCACAGGTTAAATTAATTACTTCATTTGATCTCTCAACCTGCTGCATCTTGTCTCTAAGTGTAATACACTCCCAAGTCTAGAGAAAATACAACAAGGAAGTGGCAATTGAATTAGACGGTGTTGGACATGCACACATTATACATTTTCAGGGATGTCGTCTTTGTTAATATCAAATAAACAAAAAGTTATATAAGCAGATAGGATTGACAAAAACAGAAGCACCCAGTTTTATCGAGAATTGAGATTAAAAAATGTATTGTCTCAACCAACCATATTACAAACAAACATCTGTTTAATTCAATAGCTGATAGTTAAAACAATGCGATGACTCTAGTTTCATCGTTAATAGAATGATAGTTGTCACGCTCATGTCACTGTGGGTCGCGTAATACCAAACGAGATACTGCAAGAGACACTCGGACGCGACTGTTTCGATCTGCAGCCCGCGTATTCCCGACCTTCTAATACTCGATCATTTTAAATTTAAAAAAAAATTATTATAGTTCTAACTAGTGGCCAGTGTTATATTTCTCTGTTGACTATAATTATTATTATTTCTATCAAGGTGTTTGCATTCTAATCGCATGGATGTGGCACTTTTTGGCGCGAAACAAGCAGGCGGCTGTGATGTTGGGGTTGCTAGCGGTGGCGGCGTTTGTTGTTGTCGTTCTGGCGACAAAGGGCGCCAGTATTGCCATTGTAGAAAACTTGTCCACGGAAACGGATGACATCAGCAATGACCCACATTTATTCTCTACTTATAGGTTAGTAAAGTGCAATATGCCTTTAAACTATACCTTTTATTTATTTATTAAATTAAATATAAAACGTTACTTACACTATGATGATGACCGCCTATTAGTGTAGCTGAGCGGCAGCTACATCGTGATGTAACACTGGTGCAAGTTATTTGTATTCCGGTTTGTTTTTTTTTTATTAAACTGAACTGACCGACAAACTTTCAGCCAACTGATCGTAAGTGGCTACTCGATGGACACCTGCAGCCATCTTAAAACAAAGAAGGCTAATCTCTAGCCTGTGTTGTTCCGTCTAACGACTAAGATGAAATGCCTCCCAACATGTAAAACTGTAAAAACGCGCACCTCCGATGGATTCTCGCGAGGAGATCCCTTTTGTGCTTAGATGTCTTTAAGGCAGTCGATTATAATTTTTCTGGCCATATCGAGGTCCACAGACCTGTCAATAATGGCCTTACTACCCTGGTAGTTTTTCTGGACCTTTTTGGTCTTCTTGGCCCATTGCAATGTAACTGCATATAGTTCGGGGAATTTGCTGTGATTGAGGCCGGGATGGCGGTTATTATGTATGAGGCGACAGAGTGGGAAATTAGCTCCCTCTTCTGCTTGGACCTCTTGGATCACAGCTTCGAATAAATTTGCATGCCGCCTCACGTCTAGTAATATCAGCGCTTGGCTGCCCGACGTTATAAAATCATGCATACACTGAACGGACCTGAGGTATGCGTAATCATACACAAGGTCTTCTAAAATAAGGTCCTAGTTATGTGAGAATGGCTCGCACTGTGGGGCGAAGAAATGTGGGATTTCCCCTTGTATTCAAATATCTTTTTAATATTACTTCCCTAATCATTGTATGCGAATATATGGACCCCTTAATGGTTATAATTATGTATATATATCTTTATATATAAAAATTACGTGTCGAGTTGTTTATCTGCGATGGAATCCTAAACTACTGAACTGATTTCAATGCTGTTCCCCGCGACTTCGCCCGCGTGTAATTTAGGGTTTTAATTACATTGCTCAGAACCCTAATTCTTTTTCTCAAATATAAGTAGCCTACGTTACTTCTTAGAAAATCAGCTATCTCATAGTGAAAGTCCCGTCAAAATCGGCTCAGCCGTTTCGGAGATTAGCCGGAACAAACAGACAGACAGACAAATATTTTAAAAATTGTGTTTTTGTTGTAAGTCCCGTTTATACATTCATATGCATTTAGTAAAAAGTTGTTATTTTAACATTACAAACAGACACTTCAATTTTATTTATTTGTATAGATATATATGTATCTATTGTTATTTTGCGGCAGCGATAGGTAAGAGACTGGTACCTCGCCAGAAGGACTGACAGAAAAAGAGTCCTATCATCTAGTATTGGTTGCATAATATGTCTTGAAATCTTCAGAGCTTATCGCTTAACTCAACATTTGCGTCACTCAGGTAGTAGTGGTATTAGACTACGCTGTCTGGCCTTACAACAAGAGCGTCTACAGCTGCTTCGTCATGGATTCTTAATTGGAATTCCCACCAGAGCCAATATATGCGCCAAAAAGCGCTGGTTTTCGAGTCTGTTTAGATTTCTTTGTCCCTGGTTCGCCTTCATTTAAGATAGTCATCCCTGACAATTATGATAGAATGCTTAGTTTTTAGTATAAATCCTGTTCTCTACACTCACCATCGGAAACACAGCTGTATTAACCTGGTTTTTACGCTGGTATCCTGTGAAACCGTTGGTTTTCTCCGGTCAAGCCGACCCATTCGTGCTGCAACCACAAGATAGGCGCAGCATAGGTATAGTGTATTGTTATTTTAACGTTGTGTTCACTTCAAATGACTCATTTATTATTATCTGCATGCTTTTATCGCATGACTGGATGTACTGAATTGGAACTTGACGGTTGACGCAACAGTACCAACTATCGAGCTTGGTCCTTGTTCCTGATGCATTGTCACACAAAAATGTTGTACCAAGTTTGCCATTTTAATGATTCTGATGATGATACAACCAAAATCGAACCAACTCTGAATCTGTTTGTCTGTCCACCACAAACGTTTCTATCAGAGAATACACACTACGCAGTTGCAAAGTGAGATCGAATTCGAATTTTCGACTTCTCTGTAATTAATATGTATTGACAGCCAATTACAGCTGTGAAGCATATGATTATTTTGTGGCAATTCTAATCAATGCTATTCTTCCACCGCATTACTAATATAGCTGTCAACTTCTAAAAAATAAAACAAATACAAATATCTCACAGCGTTGATTTTTTTAATTGCAACATTTTATTTGCAAGGTTTAGTTGCATAATTTTAGGAGAATAGTCCGGAAAGAAAACCTCAGGAAGTGTTGATAGTGAGGACTAGTTAAGAGTAAGTGCTGGACCGGTGCTACAATAACTGAGGTATGCACAGATTCTCAGCGTCAACGCCCCAAAATTTATTCCAAACCAGAAATCTTAAGCTCAGGACCCGTGACGAAGTAGCAAGTTGACCAAAGCCAGAAAGTTGACAAGGATTATAAATACACAAAGAATTTGGTTGTTAGGTTGATTCTTTTATTATATTTTTTATGGTCTCTGTAACCGCATTTGTAATGTTATCACTGCCCTAAGGTGGACTGGCAACTGAGAATGCTTTTAGAATTTAGTCCGCCTTTTGATCCTACCTAGTCAGGTCATAAATTCTGTCACATGTTTAATATAAAATAATTGATACAAGTTTATTCATTGTGTAACCATTTATATACCAAAATGAACTTAACAAAACATAGATTCTTATGACACTAAAGTTTATTCAAAATGACCTCCGTGATTTTGAATACAGGCCTTCAATCTGCGCGGCCAGTCGTCTATCGCAGCACGAACGAGGTCCATGTCAATATCGGCGGCTGCCTTAATCAAGGATGTCTTGAGTGACTCCAAATTGGGATGAGGCTTTGAGCACGCCTTTTCCTTCAAGTGTTGCCATATCTTGTAATCTAACGGATTCAAATCTGGACTGGAGGAGGGCCAGTCTTCGTGCCGGATGAAGTCGATTTCACGCGCCGCCAGCCAGTCTTGTGTGCTCTTCGCTCTATGAGCTGGCGCCGAATCTTGTTGGAATACCCAGTGCCTGTTATTGAACATGGTATGAGAAACAGGTTCTACAAGGTTCATCAGGACTGTATTTTGATACACAACTGCATTCGTTTTTACACCTTTCTCACAAAAATGTACCTCTGTTAAGCCCCAATAAGAAACTCCCAACCATACCATGAGCGAGGATGAAAAATGACCTGGTTGGACACGCGGAATACGGTTGCTCGCTTCTCCACTACTGTGTGCGTACACCTTATCATTTTGTTTGTTGTAGCTCTCTTCTACGGTAAAAATTTTTTCATCCGAAAAATGAATTTCCCGATATTTTTTTCCCGCGTACCGCTTCAACAAAGCGCGGCATCTCTTCAGTCTCAGGTCCATTAGACGGGCATTCAAACAATTTCTTGTTTTTTTTCGATATGCCCGAAGCCCTAAGTCTTCATTTAACACCCTTTTCACCGTGGTTCTGCTTAACCCCATCTGAAGGGCCAACAGTTTCTGCTTACACAGCACAGCTTTTATCACTGCTGGAGTCCAAACAGTCCGAGGGCGACCACTTCTTGACCTGTCATCTACACTAGAATCTTCATTGTATCGTTTGATGGTACGATAAACGAATCTTTTGGTTATATTCAAATTTTTCCGTATGTCAAACATTTGAATTGGCGCGTAACCGCAACGATGCAACGCAATAACTGCAACACGGTCTTCTTTAAGCGTCTACTCCATATTTAAAAATGAGTCAAATTCTAAAAAGTATACAGTTTTATTTTTACGAACAATTCGAAATTCGAATTCAATAAACTTTTTTGTGGCCAGCATTCTAAAAGAAAAGTTTTTACTGTGTGACAATACTTATGACCTGACTAGGTATATTGTTTTGTAATATTCAAGAACAAACAAGAAATATTCGTTTAATAGTGTGAGATTATAATCATATCATTTAGGACATGTTTATTCATTCGCAAAATAATAAATAATACGATAAACTTAGATATTTCTATATGTAAACAACCAGACGATAACACAACAATCAATCAATTTTATTTTGTTCTTTTCAATGATTTCTCAAACAATATAAAAAATCCTTTTAAGATATGTAATGGGTCTTTAAGTTATTAGAACGAAGTTCTTTATCGGACGGTACGAATTTGGTGGATGGGGGCTAGGCGACAAAAGTGTAAGATTATTCCGTCACGGCACGGCCCCTTCTGACGTAGTGTAGACGGCCTTGGCGACTATAAGAAAGCGAGATGGAATAATATCCATCTCCTTCGCACTTTTTCTTATCTTGCCATGAAATAAATATTATTTTATTTTATATTTCGCTTCATTTTAATAGACGCTAGTAATTAATTTATTATTAATTTATATATTTGTTATTCAATAATATAATACGAAAGGAACTTCATTCCAACCGAGTGTTCCACGACACTCACGCATGTTTTTTTTTTATAAAACTGAAGTCACAAACGAAATTACGGTACACCTGGTGGTAAGTGCCCACTGCAGCATGGACATCTGAAGCCAATTTCAAACGAAGATGGAGAGATTTCAAACGAGGATGGAACATACGTGTTGTCACCTCTGAGGGCTAAGATGGAATGCCTCACAGCTTCTGATTATATCGGCTCTCTCTACAATTCAGACCAGAACACAAATATGAAAAGCCGCGTCTCCACCAAAGTTTTGTTGTCAACACGACATTTGCCAACAAAACTTGTTTCCATTTTCGGCGGCAACATCGAAGGAATACGCTTGTTGCCAACATTTCTTCCCTCGGTGGAGACGCTTGTTGACAGAAACATATTTTGGCAACACGTGTCGGCAACTGCTATGTTGACAACAAAACTTTGTTGGAGACGCGGCTTAAGAGGGTATTAGAGAAGGATTCCCACCTAATAATTATAATTTTATATAATGAGGTTTAATTTAAACATTATTTTTAGCCTACCGTCAGACAATCGATTCATGCCATCCATCGGGAATGGTCACATAGCAACCAACGTGTTCAGCGACACAGTCTATATGAACGGCTTGTACAACGGCTACAAAGGCAAAAGTCGTCGGGCGAGAATTCCCGCCTGGGCCAATATAAGACTCAATTCAACCTTAACCGACCATCCATACAGCCCAGTTTACAGTCTGGATACTAAACAAGGAGTGTTCACGGTGACCGTCGACCGGGACAGGTCGGTTGTGACGCAGAGGATATACGCCCACAGGTTTTACACGAGGGCAATAGTGAATCAGATTCAAGTGGCCTCGAAACATCGCCCGGGTAAGTTAATTTTATTTACTACGATATTAGATATTGCGATCTATAAGGAACTTGAAAGACAAGCAGAGTACAAGGACATATTTGACGCACTAGCGGATTTGTTTACAGTAAAGAACTTTAACGCAGTAATTATTACTACATGCAGTTTAAATCCTTTTTTTTCAATCATCAGCCTAAGAATTCCCATGAACATTGGACCCCTATTTAATAGTCTTGTGGGTTTGCCTGGTTTGTGTATTTATTTACATTTGATGTATACGACGTGGTAGAGCCATGTTGCAGCTGTATTACTGGTATAGTTGTAGCACGAATGGGTCGGCTCGACCGGGGAAGGGCCACGCTCTCACAGAATACCAGCGTAAAATAGCAGCATAACGCTGGTGTGTTTGGTATGGTGAGTGGAGAGAAGCGGAGAACCTTTTTACTGGAAATAAGGCATTCCATCTTAGTTCTCATGGGTGACAACGCATCTGCATTTTGATTCATAATCGCGGATATATGTAGATGTCTATTGACCACAGCAAACACTTACCATCAGGTGAACTGGGTGCTCGTTTGTCTCCCTTATCTTATAAAAAAAAATACGAGGTTATTATACCGCCGCTTATCGGAGGCAGTGAGAATTTTCTGACCTATCATAGCCTCCTTTTACGAGATCCACCACCCATCGGTGTGCAAGTCCAATAGGAAGTTCTAGAATACAATGTAGGCCTTTTATATACATATAAATTGTGGCCGAGCTGACGCATTCGTGCCGCAACAATAAAAATAGCTAGAGGATGGCTCTACCACGTAGAAATTACAATGGATTTAAAAGTACATACGCAAAAAAATTGTAAGCACATGACCCTAAAAATATTCTATACTACTAATAAAGATGCTTATGTATGCAAAGCTTCTACTAGATTTGTAATTTACTAAACCTAGACAAGCAATAAATGTAAAGAAAAAATTGCTAATTTATTACCCCAGGTAAATAGCTGTGGTAATAAATTAGCAAGTTCTACTACTAAATGTAATATATGATTCCATATCTATCTAATTTTTATGAATACAAGCACTTCAGCACTTCGATATACCGACAGTCGACTTGGCATCGCTGAAGGGACTGCAGCACCGCCCAAATTTCGACGGAATCAAAGGCTTTCTCGTAGTCTACATACGCCAGGCATAGTGGCAAATTGTACTCCTCGGACTTCTGTACAACTTGCCGAAGGGTATGTATGTGGTCTATGGTGCTAAAGCCCTTTCGGAAACCGGCTTGTTCGGGAGGCTGGAAGTCGTCAAGTCTGCGCACGAGACGATTCGTAATGACTCTCGAAAACAGCACGTAGACGCGGATCAGAAGGGAAGTCGGTCTGTAGTTCTTCAAGAGAGCGTTGTCAGCTTTCTTGAAGAACAAGACCACCGCACTTCTGCTCCATGCCTCCGGTGTAATGTTTTTTTAAACGTTACCCCCACACTAGGTTTTTCTCGTCATGGAGGCAGTTTACAAACATAAATTACACAAGGACAAACATCCAGACCCGGAACAATTATTTGGACCATACAAATTACTTGTTCCGTGCGGGATTCGAACCCGCGGCCCCCAGCGCAACAACTGATTGCTAAGCCAATGCGCTACGGAGCCGTCCATAGACGTAATGCCACCATGGAAGACGGAATTAAAGAGCCTCTGAAGGACTTCAAGTACCGGTTTTCCACCCGCTTTCAGAAGCTCCGCTGTAATTCCATCCTCGCCTGGGGCCTTGCCGTTTTTAAGGTGCTGGAGAGCCATTCTAATCTCGCTCAGACTGACGTCCGGGATATCATCGGAATTGTGTCGGATAAGATTCGCTCTTGGATCGTTACTCACACTTACGTGTGGCTCCAACGATGATGTATACAGCTGCCCATAGAACCTCTCAATCTCACTCAAAATCTAAGGTGTCCCGGAAACGACGCTGCCACACTCGGTCTTCAGCTTCGACAGTTGGCTCTTTCTGGCAGTCAGATCTCTAGCAAAGACTTTGGAGCCCTGGTTCCGCTCGATCGCTTCTTTAATACGAGCAGTATTAAAGTTGCGTAAGTCCTACCGCATGCATTTGAAGATCTGTCTGTTCAGTTGCCTGTACGCTGTCAAATCTACTGAAGACTGCAGCATCATATCCCGTCTAACAGCCATGAGATTAAGAATGTGATCGGAGAGTTTTTGTGTTCTTCTGCGGCGGGTCTTGCAAAACTTAGCTCCGACCACATGGACAGTTTCCACGAGCTTGTCATTCATATCGTCCACTGCATTGCAATCTTCTAGGCACTGAAAATGGTTTTGTAGCTCGAGCTGAAAGGTTTTGGGTTTTTGGATCAGAGCACGAGGGGGACGGAGCGTTGACTTCATTAGACGTGACCTCTCCAACTTAACGTTTAGGTTCAGTGTCCCTCTAACCATTCGGTGATCGCTACCAGTTTTCACCCTCGCGATCACTGAGACATCACTGAACAGTTGTCGCCTGGTCGTCATAATGAAGTCAATCTCATTTTTTGTCGAACCGTCGGGGCTCGACCAGGTCCACTTCCTGTGGGGCCGCTTCTGGAAGAAAGAGTTCATCATGAAGAGTCCCTCTTTCTCCATGAAGTCGGCCAGCTGCTAGCCCCTTGGGTTCCGTTGCCCTATTCCAAAATTCCCTACTTTCAGCTCACCACTCTCTCTTGTGCCTAGTTTTGCGTTGAAGTCTCCCATTAACACCGTATAGTGGGTTTTGGAGGAATGCATGGCTCTAGAGATATCCTCTTAAATTTCCTCCACCATTTCATCGGGGTGTGCCGAGTTTGGTGCGTAAAACTGTATGACCTTCAGCGAATGAACCGTTTGGTGATTCTGAGTATAAGGTACGCAACCCTCGTCGACACACTTCCAATCTTTACAACGTTGTTAACGAGAGACTTGTGGACGATAAATCCGACACCTCCTTGGGACAGATGATCGCCCTCCCGGTGATAGAACAAATTGCCGGATTCGAGGATTACCGTGTCCTCCCCCTCTCTTCTATCTCTTCTTCCAGCTCCAGGATCTTCTCGTCAGTCCTCAGGGTGCGTGCGTTATAAGTTGCCAGGTCGAGTCATCGTAGGTGGCAACCGAACCTCCACCGGAGATTCTAGGCACACCCTGCCCCGCCGTTACCATGGTCGCCACCGTAGCCAGGAATAGTGGGGCCGCCGGGGACTGGGGGCCGTCTCTTCGTTACTTTCCTAAATAAATAATAAATAATAAAATAAAAAATATATTTGTAAAATCGATAAATATAGTTCTGTATAGCTACACATAACAAGAGATCTAAAATGAACACACGAACGCTCATTACCTCTGAGGACTTAATTTTTAATAATAATAGTCATTTATATCAGGCTTTTTACACCCATTTCATATATCATTAAATGTTAAAAACAAAATGAAAATATAATTCTAAAGATATAATAAATAAAAGACAATTGAACTGTAATTATAGGTTAATACTAAAATTGCCCCCAAAAGGGGGTTCGTACTATCTATTACAGTTATTGTCGCGATACACGGCACGTAATAATAACTGTAAATAGATAGTATATAATAAATATAAAACAGTGTTTTAAAATATAACTGCAATAAGTAAGAAGCAGTAGCATATATAGTAAGTAGTAAGTAGAATACTAATTCGTTATCGACCAAGTTTATAATGCTTGTGTCTGGAGATGGTACACGACAGTAGTTGACTGATAGATTCGAACCCAAAACTTTATAGATTCGTAGTCCGTATTAATTTAAAGCCTTATTGCACTATTTTTATAAATCAATTTTATCTGCCATTTTGAAAGAGCGTGTACAAAGCCAGAAAAGAAATGAGATTTCACATACGTCTCGACGTCTCGACCATCCTCTTCTCCCCACTCATTACTACACAATATTTTTATTTTCTACTGAAACAAAACATGCATGTAGTTTGACTTCGGTCGAGATCGGAAGACCGTTTCTTTTGAAAATTATTATAATGGAATATCTCGTAAATTATATTAAATTAAAAAAAACTTGCAAAAATGACAGCACACAATCAGTTGTTAGTGATGGTATATGTATTATCTTATTTTTGTTTCAAAAATCAGCAACCTATTGGAAACGGAAATAAAATAGCCGAAAAACAGAGGTTACATTGTGCTTTTTATTACTTAAAATGTAATTAATAGATCACAGCACTTAAAATGACATTGACTAATCCTGTTTCCTTATCTTTGCTTTTTTTTTTAACTTGATTTACCATAAATTCAATTCTACTTTGCCTGTCTTCTATTGTGTGCAGCCTTAATCTGTTAAATTCTAACGATTCCAGATCCGGACTTCCTCCATCCTGAGATCTGGATAGCAATAAAATTGATGCCAGGTCCAGGCAGCGATGATATAGTCTTCCAAGACCCCGTTCCGGAGATCCTCGATGGTCGGACGGTATGGAGTGTGTGTGGTCAGACCAAAGAGTCAGAGGACCCTACTTACCAGCCGCTGCCAGTGGACATATGCGCGTACTGGACGTCCGTACCCGATCATCTAGTTGTACCACAACACGGCTCTCGGGTCTTCACATTTGCTATGACTGCGGATAAAAATAAAACTGTCGCAAGACAAGAATTGATAAAAGGTTCGTTTTTAATTTTACTTTAATCATGTATCAGGCAATAACTGGCTGCCTTTAAATTCAGTTAAGTGTTTTCTTTGGAAAATTCCAAAATACGTTTACAATATTAGGTATCATATATTATGTTAGTTTTTGGGTTAGATAATATATTAACAACTATTGTCAGTGTATTATGATGGTATGAGAGGCATTCGTTCAAACCATATATAATGATTATTTTGCGAGGTACACATACAGTACCTACCTATATACTAGCGTACATTGACTTGGATTAAAATTAAGATTGTGTGTAATTCTGCACAAATCAGACTGAGTATGGGGAACCAATAATTCCAGATCATATTATTATAAACTGTACTGTTGTTTTTTTTTTACTGTAACTTAACATAAGACTTTGTAAGTGTCCAGAATATAACGGGATCTTAGAATAAAACATCACGAATTTAGTGTTCATTTTATATGGGGTTGTATTAATATACATTTTTGTAAGTATTTGTATTGATGTTAATAGCTATAATGAAATCCACTCAGACCCTATTTAGGCAGCCTCAAATTTTAATATACCAGTGTCCTAAAACTTTCACAAAATGTATGATTGATTACACGCAAATTTTTGGATATAAAAAGAAAGAAAATCTTGCGAGATGAGAAAAATAGAAGAGGGGGCAAACAAGCATGAGGCACATCTGATGGTAAGTGAGTACCGCCGCCCAAGAAAAACTGCAACACTAGAGGACGCACCCACAGCGTTGCCGGCCTTCTAAAAAGAATCAGGCTCTTTTCTTGAAGGGTTCTAAATCGTATCTGTCCAGAAAAAATGCGAGGGTAGCTCATTCCACAAAGAAGTCGCGCGAAGAAGAAAACTTCTGGTAAATCACACAGTGTTGGACCGCTAAATAGATAATGTGGGTGGTGATGAATTTTATCGCGATGTGTGATGATGGAATTTGGCGGCTGGAATTAACCCGAACACTCGTAAGAGCACTCTCGGTAGTAAGTTCGATTGAAAATGAATCAAAAAGAACTTGGTGCTAACAATCGGGCCGCTCTTTACCGAAATTGTTTAAGTGGAAAGTGCTGGCTCTGTGGTAACACGGCATAAAGACGAGAAAAGTATTCTATGTGAGGTCGAACTTGCGTCTTGTCAAGTTTTTGCAACATGTTTTTCTCTCACTGATAAATGCTAATACTTGCCACCAAAAGTATTTGGATTAGCTAACTAGACTAACTAGGATCTATAACCCTCTTAAAATTGAGTGGAATAATATCTCTTTAGCAATGGAACGTTACTAGTCTGTTAGATAATCCTTTAACAAGCGAATCTTTTTTATAGGATAAGGGTGACAAGCGAGCAAACAGTCCACCTGGTGGTAAGTGGTTGCTGCGGCCCTATATCTATATCTACATCCATCCTCGTTGCGAAGAAAATGTCAACCGTGAGGACGAAGATGGAATGCCTCTTTTCCAGTAAAAAGGGTATCCGGTTCTCTACACTCACCATACGAAACACAGCAGCTTTAAGCTCTATTTTACGCTGGTATTATGTGAGAGTGTGGTCCTTCTCCGGTCGAGCCGACCCATTCGTGCTACAACTATACAATTAATATAGCTGCAAAATCTCTGAACCTGATCACAATAAATAAATGTGTACGTAGTTTTACAGGAAGACGGCGAGGAGTTATTTGACAAACATGTAGAACAATGGGGACGGTTGTACCACCAGGCTGGCATGCAGATAGAAGGCAATTTGAAATTGGTAAGCTATTTTGTATTTTGTGTCATGAGTATTGCTAGACGAGTGTATGATCTTACTGGCGTTCTAATGTTGGCACTACACGCATGATTGTAAGCTTTTATTTAAAAAAGAAGTCCCACTGGGTTTCTTGCTGGCTCTTTCCAGGACAGAGATTTTTTTCGATAAGTATTATATAAAATCTATATTGAATAAAAAAGTTTCTGTTTCATATTATGTCCAATTCAATCGACCTACTTGAAAGTCAGTTCGTACGAGTTAGCGACAAAAAAAATTGATATTACATCACATCAAAAGTCCACTTCTGAACTAGACCTCCCACCGAATGCATCATAGTGGGGATTTTGCCATAGTTGCCACGCTTGAAACGGGTTACATGTATCATAGTGGCGGCTTAAGATTATCCACTACCTCCTACCATCACGTGCGTTTCGGAAAAGACGACAGAGGGAAACTGAAAATATAAGAGTGGCAGCAGCGTCTTCGTGATATCAACCGAAAATATCAAAATTTTGTGCGTGTAACGCCAGCATAAAATTATTGTTCCAAATGAAAATCATAGAACAGAAGTTAGCAGCGTAACGTGTATGTTGCTCTTTCTTCAAGCTATAATCGTAGGTAGCTCGAGAATGTTGTCAAAAATTGATGTGACAAGCCTACCTGTTGTCTATTACAACGATATACTGATACCGTTCTCTTCCTCTGTCTTGGCCTGTATATGGATAACACAATGAAGTGGTGTACGCATGTCACCGAAATTAGCCGCAAAGTCTGTGCCACCTTACGATCCCTCTATCGTCTGAAGAACTTTCTTCCAATCAAGACTAGGCTAACACTTGCGCAAACACTTATAATACCCATTATTGATTATGCAGATGTGTGCTACCCAGATGTGAACCAAAATCTTCTTAATAAGCTAGAGCGTCTTCTCAATAGCTATATTAGATATATATTTGGTCTTCGAAAATATGATCACATCTCTCATTATCGTGAACGCCTGAAATGGCTCACTATCCAACAAAGACGAAACTCTAGAATTTTGCTTGTTCGTTTCACAATTTTGAATAATCTAACTTCTCCAACATATCTGAAGGACAAATTCCAATATCTCTTTTCAACTCATGATAAGGTTCTTCACTCCTCATCTAATCATAAGATCAGTATTCCATCTCATTTCACTGGATTCACCAGCAATTCCTTTACTATTCAGGCAACACTACTCTGGAACTCCTTGCCCGAAAACATAAGAAGAACCAAGATATAAGAAAAGCCAAGTAAGGAATGTTTTAAGAAGTTGGTACATGACTTTTTTTTGAAACGATGTGATGTTGAATAATAAGAATGATGATGATATATTTTGACACATTTAGATGTTTTATTATTTGTAATTTCAATATATGTATTTTATTATTATATGTAACGTATATATTATGTCTATGTATGTTACATATTTTGTTCATATATTTACATACGAGTATGTAAAGTTTTTGTATATTATATGTATATATATATATATATATACACATACATATATATATATATACATATATATATATATATATATATATATGTGTGTGTGTGTGTGTGTGTGTATTTGCACCTGCCACAAAATCTCATCACTCCACGGGTTGACTGACAGAGAATACCGCTAGGCATTAAGTCCGCCCTTTGTTGCCCTTGTTATTAAGGTGACACCAACAAACAAGATTAAATTAATAAAATATATAAATAAATTTGAAGGATAAATTATGTCGCGCCTCCCTAGGCGCGATATAACAATAGTTTACATATTGTCGCACTCCTGTGCGACTATATGTAAACTATTGTACTTTTGCATTGATAATTGAATAGAAAAGTGGCATATTCCCCGCTCAATAATATAATAAATTATTATTCCAGGCCAAAATAGTGAATGGCATCTGGTACTACTTACTCAGTTCGCTGCCAGCGGAAGAGTCTCATCAGCCTCTAGACCGATTCTTCGGCCTCAGCCCAACTGGACTCGCCAGAGGTGGTACATTTGATGATTACGAAGGTATGCAAGATGTAACTACCTTTAGTATTATCACCTTTAACATCACATTTAGTCTTTAAATATCACACTTAGCCATTATTTAGTAAGTCAAAGGACACTGCATCTCAGATAATAGGGATAACATAATCAATATAAATAAAATGGGGCTACATGAGAAGGTTTCTTACGTGGTAGAGCCATGCTGCAGCTATATTAGTAGTAGGTATAGTTGTAGCACGAATGGGTCGGCTCGACCGGGGAAGGAACACGCTCTCATAGAATACCACCGTAAAATAGAAGCTTAACGCTGCTGTGTTTCGTGTGGTGAGTGTAGAGAACCGGAGACCTTTTTTACTGGAACGAGGCATTACATCTTAGTCCTCACGGGTGACAACGTATCTGCATTTTGATTCGTAGTCGAGAATAGATGTAGATGTCTACGGGCCGCAGCAACCACTTACCATCAGGTGGACTGCGTGCTCGTTTGTCACCCTTATCCTATAAAAAAAAAAAGATTCACCGAGAAAAAAGTTCTGGGATAACACACTAAAGAATACAGTCGAATTGATAACCTCCTCCTTTTTTTAAAGTCGGTTGAAAAGACATATTCGTGGCGTTCGGCAGACGGACAGGTTCAATTTAAATTGCGGCGGAATGGAATAGAAGTGATTTTTTGTAAAAAAACATTGTACATAGTAAAATGAATTTTATGATACTTGTGTAACATGAAAATAAAGAAGACGCGCGACTTCTTGTTTTTTACAATATCAAATACTTACAAGCGTATATTTACCCAATAATATTATAAGTACATTCGTACTACCCTACTGAACAATGAGCTGTTCACTTTACATTTTGGCAACAAAGGAACACACTGGTAGTACGCGTGGGATTGCGTACGAACATCCCCTCCACCTTCCCACGCCGATTTAAACATCGCAGAGCAGCGTGTGATTGCGTTGTATACGATAAAGGTAGAGACAGACTGGTCCCACGTACGCAACGTATGCAACGCATTATGACGTAGAACTTTCGCGTAGCACGACATAAACAAATAGACCCTTGCACCGTGCACGCGTTTTGTTATGCGCAAGCAAAGGTGCACTCTCTATTCCCCCACTCTCATAGTCCGATGAGACGGTAAACCGACACGACCGGGGATCAGGCGCAAGACCAACAGCTTTACATGCTTACGGTGGGACACCGCCAACTTCCTGATTACGGGCAGCTACTGAGAATTTCTTGATGGAAAAGCTCAATAACTATTTTTTTGACCCGACCCGGGATTCGAACCCAGAACCTAATGATCAGCAGTCGCTCTACTACAACCACAAGACCAGCGAGGCTGTCAAACGCAAAGTATTGCATGATTAAACAATTATTTATGCAATTTTCCTACACATACTAATTATTATTAAATTTGTAATGATATTAAATATTTATATTAATAATGCAAGTGGTGATCATGTTAACCAAATATTTGTATGCCTTCTAAGGCGAAACATAGTGATATTTGTCATGCCTTTTCCACCAAGTTTGTAACTTTTAGACCTATGCTTTACGAAAAAAATTATTTTGAATTTGAATTTGAAAAAATTTAAATACTGACGTATTTGTTACTTAGTTAACGTTCAGAGTATTTGATTTCTGAGTTGTGTGTTTGATACATACATAAACACTCACGCCTGTCACCCAGAGGGGTAGGCAGACACTATGGACTTCCGTTTGGTACGATCCTGACACACCTCTCTCGGTTCCTCCACATCCGTATACCCACGCATACACGCTTGTCGGTTAAAGGTACTCTTAATTAGGCCCATTTTCAATATATCGCCAATTCGGTCGATAAACTTTCGCCTAGGTGCGCCTAGGGCGTCCTTTCCCGACTCTACCGTGTTTAATTCAAAGTTCAAACCCAATATTTATACATATATAAAAAATATTAGATGTTTTCAATGTCGAATGATAAGTGATTTTTGTGCCTCCTAATTCAATAGCCTACTCAGATACGGGTAGGTTAGGAGGAGTGTTCAGGCATACACAACTTATAAAATAATGTCCTGGACATGATTAAACTTTTGGTATCGAAAATCTATCGCTGGGGTCGATAGGTTTGGCGCAAAATATTCCAAGAAATCAACTAATTAATGCAGAATTCTTTCGAAGGTTTTGATTTTAACACACTCAGGCACGCATCACCATTATCATATCAATATCTTACCAGGTCGTCATTCACTAAGCCAAGGCATTTATGTATATATATATATATATTTACGCAATTTAGATAATGGCTGGGAAAGTTTAATTATATCTACTTAATATTTTATATTTTTAATATTAATGAAAGAACAGTGAATGAATTCACCGATTCTTGTTAGTATTTTATGCATGATTAAGCAATTAGAGAGTCGTTTTGTCTCTTAGTTCAAAACCTGATTTTCCAGGGCACAACTTCTGGGACACGGAGATCTGGATGTACCCTACTATTCTTCTATTGTACCCTCACTATGCGCACTCTTTACTCCAGTACAGATTAGAAACGGCATATGTCGCCGCACAGCTCGCAAGAATAACCGGACATAAGGGATACAGGTAAGTTATTACTCCTATTTAACTTAATACTGGGTTTGCACAGAAGTCTGTCGAAGTATGACGATTTTAAGGTTTCTATGAAAGGAAATGTGTGCCTAAAGAAGAAGAAGAAGAAATAAGAAGAAATGATTTTAATATTTCACCCCACTTTTAAAATAATATTACTTAAAAGTTTATTTATACCTTTATCACGTTAGCAGTAACACAAATAAATTTATGTTTTATTTACATATGATAGATTTCCATGGGAGAGCGCGTACACGGGCACGGAAGTAACGCAGCCGTGTTGTCCAGAAGTGGCGGAGTTCGAGCAACACGTGTCAGGCTGCATTTCGTTCGCCGCCAGGCAATATTTAGCAACCACCAGAGATGAAGAGTGGTTGAAGGTAGGATTATATAGTGATATATACATCGTACCTGAATGCATTTCCAATTATATAGTGTTATATGTAAGGGACTACCTACTGACTAACTACTACTGCTGACATAAGGTACCTACCGGGTTCGAATGACGGTCGGGCCAAAATCACTTATTGGGTTTTTCTGTCACGAACTTCTCACTAGCATTTCGGAGTTAGAAAATCGCTGGAGTTCCAGCCCCGTGCTTTGTAATACGCATAAACGCATACTTGAAATTTATCAGACAAGGGTGTCACATTGATTACCAGACCAGCGACGAAGAGGACCATTCGTCCGAGACGACTAATACTGCAATCGCTAAGTTACCGAGAGTGGCAATTTAGATAAACGCTTAGTTCGATAGGATTTCTACGGGTTGTAATGAAGATTATTCTTCACCATATTCAACAGTATTGTAGGACGAAGGCCATTTATTACTTGTAATACGCCTACAGGCCTATGTTTCTTTAAATAATTTTCCATATTTTTTAAATTATTTTTTGTAGGATATGGTGACAAACGAGCACACAGTCCACCTGATAGTAAGTGGTTGCTGTGACCCATGGACATCTACATCCATTCTCAATAAATAATCAAAATGCAGATGCGTTGTCACCCGTGAGGACTAAGATGGAATGCCTCTTTTCAAGTAAAAAGGGTCTCCGGTTCTCTACACTCACCATACGAAATACAGCAGTTTTAAACTGCTATTTTACGCTGGTATTCTGTGAGAGCGTAGTCCTTCCCGGTTGAACCGAGCCATTCGTCCTACAACTATACTATTAATATAGCTGTTAATAGCTAATATACGTATGGATATTATTATAATATATATTTTTAACACTTTTATTATCAGAAACATGAGGTATTTACAAACGCGAGCAGACTCAAAGTTCAATCGAATTTTATTTTCTTGATACCTAGAAGACATCTTTCTTATTATTGTTCTTGTTCTTCACCAGCAAGGTGGCTGCTCGCTAGTGACAAATATCGCCGATTTCTGGGCTTCGCGTGCCGTCATAAATTACACCACTGGACTTTATGATATAAAAAGTACGTAAAGTAGATAATAGTATAATCATTCATTCGTATATTACAGGCTATGAAAAGTCCATTGTTAAGCATAGGCCCTCCACTAACAGAGCCTTTGGGCCACTAACAGTAGGGTTTGCAATCGCAGTTTTTTTATTTTTATTGTTATTAAGAAGACGCTGCTGCCGATCTCGTGCTTCAATTTCCCTCTGTCGCCTTTTACGACACCCACGGGTCGATATGGGGTAATGAATATTCTTATACCACCACTGTATGTTTCGCTTACATTCGATTTTTGTAACGTGGCTCTATCACGTGTGATAATGCCATACTTTAATTTGTTTCTGATTTTGCTTATAACTTACTACGTCTCTCGCTTACTTACATTAATTGTACAAATTGTTTACTAACACTACTTTAATTTTATTATATAATTATTTCAAAGTACGATTCAAAGGATTGTTTTGGTATTATATAACTAATTATATATACCAAACTATAAATGTGATTCATATTATTTAATTTATTTTTGGGTTGATACGTTCAATAATTAGTAGGTATACAATAAAAAGTGTAGGTGACCCCCCCCCCCTCCCTCCCCACTAGATGGAGTCACAACTTGGTAAAACATGCGGAAGTCGATGGATACAGGTGGCTCAGGACCGTGCTTTGTGGCATTTCTTGGGGGAGGCCTATGTTCAGCAGTGGACTTGTGAAGGGCTGTAATGATGATGATGATGATGATGACGTCCAATAATAAAACCAACAACATATTGCACGTCTGAGTATGTCACACTTTTGTGTGGAATTTTCATTTCATCAACTCATTCCAGTTTCAATTTGAATTAATTTATTTTTAGCGATAGTACTGCGTATTGCAAGCATTATGGTGTGATCAACGACCCAACAGTCAACCTATATTAAGAGGACAGACAACAAATAAGAGTTAAGATCATTGAGTTATATGTACTACGAGTACGTACTAGAGAAGCCATTCCAAACAAAAATTGTGTCCTACTCTATGTCTTCGCGCATGCGCGGGAGTGGTAGTCGCGCATGTGCGAATATTTTAATTTGATATAAAATAAGATATTTATATAAAATAAATATAAGAATTTAATATAAAATATCTTAATTTAATCTAAACAAACATATTATATTTCTAAATAAAATGTAATAATAATTATTTTATGGAATTCACAAATGTTCAATTTACGCAATATTTAGTTTGTATGGATTGCACTACAGTTCAGTTGAACATAGTCTATGTTCGGAATGGCTTCTCTAGTACGTAGTACATATAACTCAATGGTTATGATCAGATGAATTATAATTAGATATCATTAGATGGAACGTCTCACAGCCTATAATTAATTATACTGGCAACCGGCACATAGCCTCTGGGTGCACTCTTCTGCTTCTGTTTGCCGGCAGAAATAGACAAAAGACAATTACAAATCCAAAGGGACTTATAAGCAGAACAGGGCTGCAACCACCGCCTTAAAAAATAATAACAGGATGTCAATGCCCAGCAGTGGAACTTATGTAGATCGTAACTTTAATTTTACTCCTTTTGTTACGTCACAATTACTAAAAAGTTGCCAACCCTAAATGTCTATTTGTAAGTTCTGTTATCATTGCTCTATAAAAGCAGTCTATTATACATTAAGATTAATTTATTTATTTTTCTAAGTCGTGTACTCTATATCAGGGATCACCAACGGGTCCGTTTAAAAAAAAACATAAATCTGTCGCGGTTTGTTTCAAATCGAAATCGGAATATTTTTTATTCAGGATTTATCTAATTAAAAAATAACACACTAAGTACCCTATATTAAGGCAAAAATATGGCGTTTTTTAATCAGAACAATCGGTCTGAAGTCTGGAATAAATGTTGATCTAAAAAATATTAGTTCTGGGTTTTTATTACCAGACCAGACTAATTTTATACAAAATTTTTGGCAAAGAACTTACAAATTTTTGTGTTTTAAAACAGAAGAAAATTGCGTTATTCTTAGATTCTCCTGGGTCCGCACAAAATAGCTCGGCGATTCGGATGTGGACCGACATTTGGTGACCCCTGCTCTATGAATAATGAATGAATATTATAATATGAATGCATCGTTGGTCTAGAGGTCGAAACGCGACTGCAGATCATGAGGCCCCAGGTTCGAACGACGGAATTATTGAGTTTTGTGTTTTAAAACAGAAGAAAATTGCATTATTCTTAGATTCTCCTGGGTCCGCACAAAATAGCTCGGCGATTCGGATGTGGACCGACATTTGGTGACCCCTGCTCTATGAATAATGAATGAATATTATAATATGAATGCATCGTTGGTCTAGAGGTCGAAACGCGACTGCAGATCATGAGGCCCCAGGTTCGAACGACGGAATTATTGAGTTTTGTGCAAGAAACTCTCAGTTTTCTACGGTGTCGAATTTCCGTCCCATCGGACTATGAGAGTGAATGAATAGAGAGTGCACCTGTGCTAGCACATACACGTGGACACTATGATCCTGTCTTGCGTTGATATATGTGACACCTTAATAAAAAGGGCTACAAATGTACCTTCTGGCGCACTCTCCAAGTCAAACTCAAAAATCATCTTTGACAGCTTCTGTTTTTTACATAAAACGTGACACTTTTTTTGTTTATTTTATTTTCTTTTGTTTTATTTTTTGTTTTTTTAAAAACGATACCCCCACACTAGGATTTTCTCCTGTATCGTGGAGGCAGTTTACAAACACAAATTTCTACAGTATTGTTAATTTAATAGTTACCATTATTTAATATAAAATTATCACTTTCAGACGTGATGGGGCCAGACGAAGATCACAGCAACGTCACTAACTCCGCCTTCACCAACGTGGTCGCTGGTTACTCTTTGTATTTAGCGGAGTGTGTATTTCTTTAACAATTTTATAGATATTTTATAGATATGAGCCGTGGTAGCTCAGATGGTTAGCGCTCGCTGTAAGCTTCACAGTACTCGAGCAACCCGGGTTCCATCCCCGCCGGCACCAATGAAATTGTTAATTGCAATTTTAAGTGCTAATTTAACACTTGCTCGGCGGTGAAGGAAAACATCGTGAGGAAACGTGTATATCTGAGAAATAAGAAAAAAATATTTCGAAGACATGTGAAGTTCGCCAACACGCATTGGGGCAGCGCGGCGGACATTTCCTTGTCCTAAAACCCTCTCAGAAATGAGAGGAGCCCTGTGCCCAGCAGTGGGACATAAATAGGCTGCAAATTTTCTTTACTTTTTATAGTTATAAAAATTCTTAAATAAGTAGCCAATATGACCAGACTACAAAGCATCGCCAATCGTCATATTATTTATTTATGGCCTTGCCACAGAGTAAAGTAGGCCTTACTCATAAAATAGTCGTTTAATCCAAAAATGCTTAAAGTTCTTTTTTTATAGGAGAAGCTGCAAACGAGCATGCGGCTCACCTGATGGTAATTGACCACCGCCGGTCATGAACAACTGCAACACCAGGAGAATTGCAGATGCGTTGCCGGCCATATAAAAAGGAGTACGTATATATCTGGAAATATCGCTGGTGGTAATTGATTCCTCAAGGAAGTTGTGCGGGGAAGAAAACTTACTCTCTTTTTTTACTAAATTACTGTAGAAAAAGATAGGTTTAGAGATACTTAATTAATACTATTAAAAACGTTCGTTCTTAACAGGATATGACTTAATGACTAATTTTATTTTACAAAATATCAAAGGAGTCAAATAGTTGTTTAAACATTCTGTATGTTATGCTTATAATTCAATCAATCCAGGGTCAGTACTACGTTAATGACTAGTCACCTGTGAACAGTAGTGGACATTTTACAACCTAATGATGATAATGATCACAAATAATGATACACAAGTTTGACAAGTGATACGTCTTATATTATATTACATTTTATAATTGTAGGGGAAAAAGAACTTACAGTATATTTGATGGTAAGTGGCCACTGCAGCCCATGGACACTTTGAACTAACTTTAAGCTTTAAGGAGGCCACGGATGCGATGACATCTCTGAGGACTAAGCTGTAATGCCTCATAGTCTATAATAATTGTCAAAAAAAAGTTTAAAGTTAAAAAACTTACTTTAATTATTATACTGGTTCTTTTTAACCTTTAAACCGGAAAACAGCAGTGGCAGACATCTCCTACACAGCAGAAATATGTAGGAGTGTAGTACCATGCCAGACAGACTCCTAAATAAAAATCTATGTGGTTCCAAATATAAATATAAATAAACACAATGCAAACAAAATAATTTAGGAACTGAAATGGCACAAATGTTATGGTTTACTATATAGCGGTGAAAACAATGTTGCTTTTTAGTACATGCGAGAACCAGAGAGTTATTGAAAACTCAACTAATACAACAACTGCAACATAAAAATATTAATATCCACTTCATCGTCATCATCATTGGCTTATCATAAGTCTACTCCTGAACATGTCTCCCAGTCTCCCACAAAGAATTATAATACATAGCATAGTCCTGAGTCACTTGCTTACACCTGATACTAACCTGATAAGAGATGCAGGAAGGAGGTGCGTGGAAAGCGCCCTACCGAAATATAAAATTAAAGTGTCAAAAATGATTACCCTCTCCAACAAAAAATAACTCTGTTGTTAGGTACGTATCGTGCCTTTGCAAGGAATACTACTTGTCTAAGGCCCCGGAGCATTATGCCGACATTGCGTGGAGCCTCGCCTTGCCTTACGACGGCGAGTGGGACTACCACCCAGAGTACGCCGAATATAAAAGAAGCGAGAAGATTAAGCAAGCAGATGTAGTACTGTTGGGCTTTCCTTTACAATACCCGATGAATGAGTGAGTCTTTATTTCTGAGTCTTTTTTCTTGTACTTTACTATCTTATAAATAAAATGCAAGTTTAAATTTATTTTTACAACTTTTTACAATAATTATTGGCTGGAGAGCCGTCTGTACACTTTGAATACTAAAGATCAGTTTAAATTTTTTCTATATGCTATTAAGTAGCGTTTCGCATGGCAGCTTGAGCCGGAACCGCGAGAGTTTATTGTTTTATTTGGTGATGTGGTGCAGCCAGGTACAACAGAGAAAAGGCGTTAAGTAAATAAATAATCCCTGATGTCAAATGTGAAAAGTAGTTTATAAGGTCGAGCGAAGCGAGCCCTGCACTATCCCACAATCTATGCATTTTTGTGGTACACTTTACTAAGAAACTATCACACTTTCAGGTTTGCGCTTTGACATAGTATTTTCGATTCATGTCTAGATGTGTTATGAATCATAAAAATATTATTTTATCCACATTAAAAAAATAGTAGACAACAATAATTTTCAATAAATACATTTTTATTGTATTACTAACGCCATCTGTAAGAAAACTAAAAAATACTTTGTAGTAGAATCACGTTAGATACGTTAGATGTCGCTAATTATGAATTATGAATGGAGCATAACTTGATGAAAAAAAATCCTCTCAGGTTCCGAAATTGTTTTAGGGCAACTTAGTAAGATCTATGGTCTGGCCAAGGTCAATAATATATTTTTTGCAGAACAATTTTCTTTTAAATTTTATAAATTATAAGAATTCGCAAGCCATTACAAAGTTGTACTTTTAGCTAGTATATGTACGACTTTTAAACAATTTCACTGTCCGATTTTCAGAGACAATAGTAAGATAATAGCGGTGAACTATATGTAGTACACGGGACACAGTATGGGTTAATTTATAATGTACATACATATATAGTTAAGTGATTCCGGTAACGTATTGTATAAGTGTGAATTATATGTAGGTATATCAATAGTGTTTTCTTCCCTCGTTCTTGACACTGCTGATATACCGCCTTTTTTTAAAGATCGACAAGGGCAAATGATCTCAAGTACTACGAGTCGGTGACTCGCAACGACGGCCCCGCTATGACCTGGAGCATACACACTGTTGGAATCCTTCGTTCTGGAGATAGTGCGAAGGCCGCAAAGATGTTCAACAAAAGTTATGATGCTTATGTGAGGGAGCCTTTTAAGGTAAAGTTTTGCTGGTGTTTGTTAATTTGGTGCTGGTACTGTGTTGCTGTTCTTGGATATTGAATAAAACTGCATTAATGGTGATGAACTATATTTTTTTATAGTGTAATGGTGGCAAACGAGTAAACAACACACCTAATGGTAAGTAGATGCTGTAGCCCATAGACATCTACATTTATCTTCGATTAAGAATCAAAATGCCGATGTGTTGCTACCCCTGAGGACTAAAATGGAATGCGTCCTTTCCGATAAAAGGGATCTCCGTGGTACAACGCGAAGTAAGGAAGTACAATTTAATGCGCAACAACAGATACTTTGTGCGTTGGCAGATTGGCGTTTCGCCACAATTTCTATTTAAATTTATCAGGCGTGTGTTTTGTTAAAATATATTTTACCGATTCAAAAAGGAGTTTATCAATCCGATTGAACTTTTTTTGTAATTAAAATATTAAAAATAATAATAAAAAAGAATAAATGTAATAAATCGGTGAAGTAATCTCCAAAATTACTTCACCGATTTACCTTTTTTTTATTTACGAATAAATTATCTAATTAAAATACACCATTGCTATTTTAATATTAACTTCTATTTTATTTTATACTAACATTAGGCTAAGTAAGTTTTACTAACAATCTATGACTATTGTTGGTCGAAATAAAGGATTTATTATTATTATTATTAAATAGTGCTCTGATAATAATTGAAGTCGATTTCAATTCTATATTCATCATCATCATCATAACATTCTATCAAAGTTAACTTAAGTCATAGTTTACAGGCTTGGCAGGCAAGTTGACAACCGCAGTTTTTATTATTTTGAGTGGTAATTGGGAAGATGCTACTGGTATCTTCTATTTCAGTTTCCCTCTGTCGTCTCTTACGACACTCAGAGGTTGAAATGGGGTATTAGATTTTATCTTTGCCGTCACTACACTGCGAAAATATTTTTTTTTAATTAAAATGGTTGAAAATACTGGCGACGACATACAAAAGTCAGGATTCAAATTTCGAATCAGGACTACTGTCGGTGCTAGGACTCCCTATCTGTCTCGGAGTCCATCTGCGTATCACCTTCTTACGTATTTTTAACGCCAAAATGTTTGCATTTTCATCATTGACTGCAATGCTGTAGTCTAGTCTGAAGAATACAGAGAGTCAGTATAGTTACAGCTACTCTGTGGTTACAAGGCCGTGAGGCTTTCCATCTCAGTCCTCAGAGGTAACGACTCATCTGTAGCTTACTTGGTTTGAAGTTGGTTGCAGGTGTACATAGACTGCAGTAACCACTTACCATCAGGTAAACTGTAAGTCCGTTTGTTAAATCAATTAAGCAGCAATTTAAAAAAAATTAAACTACCATAAATGTCATTACGCAACGTTTAGAAACTCGCCGAGCACAGACGAGTAGGCACGAGTACGAGGTACGTGCAAGTAAACGCCTTGTTCGGGTGTTCTCGCTACTCGAACCGAGTATTCACCTGTTTTCCACTCGATGTCGGTTTTTTGGCACGAGTAAAAGAAATGCTCACATGTGTTAGTATCGGTGTTTACTTACTTGTCATTATTCGCTTAACCCGTGAACTTTTAAACTTTATTTTTCTTATAAAATAATTTTAAATACCCCTACTGTGATGGATGGCGTAACGAATCCACTATTTTTATATAACTTTATCAATGAGAACCCGTGATATGGGGTATATAAATAAACATTAATGAAAATATTCATAATCATCATCATCATTACATCCCTTCACAAGTCCACTACTGAAACTGCCCCAAGGAATGCAACAATGCACGGTCCTGAGCCAGCTGCATCCATCGACTTACACGTTTAAAAGATCTACATACATTGAATGAATACAGACGAATATGATGTGTAAACGCGTCGTACTCGTCTACGAATAACTCGGCGAGTTGCTCGTGCCGATAATCTAATCGTGTCGTTATTATGGTGGAAAAACGCATGGCCGAAAGATAGCGTTAAAACCACCATGTCCAACCACCAGTCAGACCGACTACCTGTACAGCAAGTGTGTGACGACTGCGATCCCAACAATGGAATAGTATTAAATATCTCACAAACAATAAATAGATATGTGGTGTCTCTTCAGGTGTGGAGCGAGCTCCGTCGACCAGACGTTGGTGCGGTGAACTTTCAGACGGGAATGGGAGGGTTCCTTCAGGCGATAGTGTTCGGTTACGCTGGATTAAGCGTCTACTTGGACCGTTTCGAAATCCACCGTGCGCAGCTACCACCTCAAGCTACTAGATTAAAAATTAAAGGTACTATTAAAAATGTTTTTATTTTTTGCTATAAAACCACCTTTTACCTTTTTAACTAATTTATGACGAATCCCTCGCCGATTTCAGCAACAGCGAAGACTTCCGAAAATTTCCTTAATTTACTAACTGTTATAATTATGCTTAATGTGAGTAACAGTTTAAATACCCTAGCAGAATTAAAATCAGCTGTATCTACCAAAGCATTATGCTGATCTAAAACACTAGCCCAGTTCTAGTGTATCTTACACAATTTTTTTTCTTTTTATTTTTCAACTCTTTATTATATTATATGTGTTTGGTGCCATACTAGCTTGACTCTGCTCAGAGCCATGGTAAACAAAGAGGTGACATTCAAATTATTTATAAATTTACAAAAATTCGTTAACTTTTTTTATGGAATTAAGGTGACAAACGAACACATAGTCCACTTGATTGTAAGTGAATGCTATACACCCATAGACATTTACATCTATTTTTAATTAAGAATCAAAATTCAAAAAAGGTTTACGGTTTTCTACCCTCACTATTTAATTTTTAACCGACTTCAAAAAGGAGAAGGTTCTCAATTCGTCGGAATCTATTTTTTATCTATGTTCACCGATTACTCGAAGATGCCTCAACCGATTTGGAAAATTCTTTTATTGTTTCCCATATAAATTTTATCAAGGTCTGACCAGTAGTTTTTGAGTTATCCTTAATAATTTATATTGAAGTCGGTTGTACAAAATTTTTAATTATACCACTTGTACTTTAGTATTCCGTGAGAACGTGGTACTTCTCCGGTCATCCGACCCATTCGGGCTACTATCGGCTATCAACTATCCTGACTTGCCTCGATTCTCTCAGACTGCCACACCCCGCATCTGCCTCTACCACCTCTAATGCAATTTAAGTTATAAAACTAAAGTTATTAAAAACAAAATAACAGCTACTTTTAAATCAACAGGCATAAAATACCTGGGTACAAATCTAAATTTGGATATAGACGACGTCGACGTCACTCTGACGGTCACATCCGTCGATGATAAGTGGCCTCTAGTCTTGAACAATGGAAAGTACAACACTACTTTGATTCCAGGGTTGACTGGTAAGTGTAGACAACAATTTTTCAATATTGTAAATTTTCAAAATTGTGTATAAGTTCCCGTGCAGTGGCGGTTAAGAATATTCACTACCCCATATCTTCCCGTGGGTATCTTCCTGATAACAGCAAGATTACAATAAAAAACTGCGGTTACCAATCCGCTTGCCAAGCGTGGCAACTATGGCATGAAATGAAAGTTACGAAGAGACTGCCCCCAGTCCCCGGCAGCCCCGCTATTCCTGGCTACGGTGGCGACCATAGTAATGGCGGGGCTGGGGGTGCTAAAAATCTCCGGTGAAGGTTCGGTTGCCACCAAAGACGACTCGACCTGGCAACACACAATGCACGCACCCTGAGGACTGACGAGAAGATCCTGGAGCTGGAAGAAGGGATAGACAAGTTACGCTGGTATATTATAGGATTATCCGTGGTCCGAAGAGAGGGAGAGGACATGGTAATCCTCGAATCCGGCAACGTGTTCTATCACCGGAAGGCGACCATCTGTCTCAGAGAGATTTATCGTCCACAAGTCTCTCGTTAACAACGTTGTAAAGATTGAGTGTGTCGACGAGGGTTGCGTATCTTATACTCAGAATCACCAAACGGTATTCGCTGAATGTCATACAAGTTCACCTACCAACCTCGGCACACCCCGATGAGGAGGTGGAGGAAATGTATGAAGATATCTCTAAAGACTTGCATTCCTCCAAAACTCACTATAAGGTGTTGATGGGAGACTTCAGTGCAAAACAAGACACAAGAGAAAACGGTAAGCTGAAGGTAGGGAAAGTCGGAATAGGGAAACGGAACCTAAAGGGCCAGAAGTTGGCCGACTTCATGGATAAAGAGGGACTCTTTATGATGAACTCTTTCTTCCAGAAGCGACCCCACAAGAAGTAGAGCTGGCCGAGCCCCGACGGTTCGACAAAATATGAGATTGACTTCATTATGACGACCAGACGACAACTGTTCAGTGATGTCTCAGTGATCGCGACGGTGAAAATTTGTAGCGATCACCGAATGGTTAGAGGCACACTGAACCTAAACGTTAAGTTGGAGAGGTCTCGTCTAATGGAGTCAACGCTCCGTCCCTCTCGTGCTCTAATCCAAAGTCCCGAAACAGTTACTAGAAAATTGTAATGCAGTGGATGATATGAATGACAAGTTCGTGGAAACTCTCCATATGGTCGGAGTTAAGTTCTGTACGACCCGCCTCAGAAGAACGCAAAAACTCTCAGATTACACTCTTAATCTCATGGCTGTTAGACGGGAAATGAAGCTGCAGTCTTCAACAGATTTGCAGCATACTGGCAATTGAACAGACAGACCTCCAAATGCATGCGGCGGGACTTACGCAACTTCAATACAGTTTGTATTGAAGAAGCGATCGAGTGGAACCAAGGCTCCAAAATCTTTGCCAAAGATCTGACTGCAAGAAAGAGCCAACTGAAAAGCTGAAGACCGAGTGTGGCAGCATCGTTTCCGGGACACCTCAGATTTTGAGTGAGATTGAGAGGTTCTATGGGCAGCTGTACACGTCATCGTTGGAGCCACATGCAAGTGTGAATAACGATCCAAGATCCAGGCTTATCAGACACTATTCCGATAATATCCCGGTAGTGAGTCTGAGCGAGTTAGGTTGGCTCTCCAGAACCTTAAAAACAGCAAGGCCCCAGGCGAAGATAGAATTACAGCGGAGCTTCTGAAGTCGGGTGGAAAACTGGTACTTGAAATCCTTCAGAAGTTCTTTAATTCCAGCCTCTCTCCGGAGGCGTGGAGCAGAAGTGCGGTGGTCTTGTTCTTCAAGAAACGCTCTCTTGAAGAATTACATACTGATTTCCCTTCTGAGCTGCATCTACGTGCTGTTTTGGAGAGTCTTTACGAATTTTCTCGCATGCAGACTCGACGACTTCCAGCCTCCCGTACAAGCCGGTTTTCGAAAAGGCTTTGCCACCATAGACCACATACATACTCTTCGGCAAATTGTACAGAAGACCGAAGTGTACAATCTGCCACTTTGCCTTGAATTTGCCTCACGGCGGCCAGTCTCAAAGACTTGCCATCTGCACAGGAGAGGATTAGGATAGCGTACGAGTCTTTGCGCGAACACATATGCACTCTCTATTCTCTCACTCTCATAGTCCGATAGGACGGCAACCGGACCTGGTAGATATTAGGCGCAAGTTGTACGTTCTTTCCAAGACACGATTGTGACCGCCAAGTGCATAACTCCAGACTGCTACTGAGAATTTCTATACGGAAAAACCCGTTAACTGATTTTGGCCGGACCCGGGATTCGAACGCAGACCCTTGTGATCAGCAGTCACTAGTAACGACTACTAGACCAACGACGCAGTCATATGTATAATAATGCGGTCACGGATCCGCCAGCAACTTGTGGCGATTATAACGAATACTCCACCTTACCTTGCGGTAACACTTACCCTTTCTCACTAGTCATTATATCCTCTTCTACGTGGTTGCCTGGTAGAGAAAGCTTCTTTTTTTATCATATTTAACGTTAACCCCACACTAGGGTTTTGCTCCTGTATTGTGGAGGCAGTTTACAAATATAAATTGCACGAGGACAAACATCCAGACCCGAAACAATTATTTGTAGTCCATACAAATACTTGTTCTTGCGGGATTCGAACCTGCGGCCCCAGTGCAACAACCCATTCTTAAGCTATTGCGCCATGGAGCAGTCAATTCGCTTCTGATTGATGAGGCCGCAAATTGTAAGTTGGTTTAGTTTTATTGTTTATTTTTGAGGTGAAAACTTTTTTAGCTCCGTTGAGTGATTTTTGGTTGGGGAAAAACATATGGGTTCGCGTCACCGATGACCTCGACATACTCGTGACGTATTCGTTTATTGTCTACTTAAGCGTCGATCTATACGCATATATCATTGAGTTTTCACTTCTGCCAGCAGTCCTTTCAACTTCCTTTGTTTTAATTTCCACACGATAGGCGATGCCCATATCCAGCAGTGGACTGTTGCATATTGATGAAAAAGAAGCCCTTGTTATCGAAAGTAATAATGGCGGACTTCACACGCTATTACTCCATCAGCTGTGAGAGGGTGCTTGATCCTAGCAGTGAGACTCTTCATCACCATCATCTGCATTACATCCCATCACAAGTCCACTGCTGAACAAAGGCCTGCCTCAAACACGGTCCTGAGCCCCTGCATTCATCGATTCCTGGCATATCTCAATAAGTTGTGATACATATAAAAACGTATTTCTTTCTCTCTTTCTCCATATAGTGGGAGCCCGCACCACTCTTCGCTTACCGATGCGAGGTTGTCACTCGAGAATCTTTCTATTAGAGGCTTATAGACTGTAATTTATTTACTATTACATCTATTAACTATGATCAAATACTTATTTTCAGTGACGCTGTCAGGTGAAGGACCTTTCACAATACGCTCAGCGCCCTGGAAGGACTGCAAGTTACCCGCTGATATAATCGGTCAGAACTACCTGAGGCAAATAAACGTTTAGATTATCGATATGTAATAAATATCATATTCTTGTTTTATTCTATTTATCCTGTAAAACCACCTCCTGTGATGATGTTATAAGTAGTGATGAAACGAATACGCATGCGATAATCGTGTTTTTGGATTAAAAGCCTGTTAATAATAAAACTAAATATAAATTAAATTGATTTGATATTGTACTTTAATTTTATTAAAAGTTTAATAAAAAGGAAAAATTCTGAAGCATTCGTATCGTTATTCGTAATCGTAATGCATTTGCATACGATGTATTCGTCATTCATATCGGTTTCGTAATAGCCGTATCGTTTCATCACTAGTTATAAGTCTATTTTTTATTGCGTACCTTATACTCAGAATCACCAAACGGTTTTCGCTGAAGGTCATACAGGTTTACGCACCAACCTCGGCACATCCCGATGAGGAGGTGGTGGAATTGTTTGAGGATATCTCTAGAGCCATGCATTCCTCCAAAATCCACTATGCAGTGTTAATGGAAGAGTTCAACGCAAAACTAGGCAAAAGAAAAAACGGTGAGCTTAAACCCAAGGGGCCAGCAGCTGGCCGACTTCATGGAGAAAGAGGGACTCTTTATGATGAACTCTTTCTTCCAGAAGTGGCCCCACAGAGGTGGACCTGGTCAAGTCCCGACGGTTCGACAAAAATGAGATTGACTTCATTATGACGACTAGACGGCAACTCTTTAGGGATGTATCAGTGATCGCGAGGGTGAAAACTGGTAGCAATCACCGAATGGTTAGGGGCACACTGAACCTAAACGTTAAGTTGGAGAGGTGTCGTCTAATGAAGTCAATGCTCCGTCCCCCTCGAGCTGTAATCCAAACTACCGAAACCTTTCAGCTAGAGGTACAAAAACGTTTTCAGCGCCTAGAAGATTGCAATGCAGTGGACGATTTTTTTTAATTCTTTATTCATATAAAATACACGCATTTAAAATAATAATAAACATCGCCAAACTGTGCAACATTTTGTTGACAATAATGGCACTCTTTCATAGGATGCATCTTTCACTTTTTTACTTACTAAATATTTAAGTAGTCTAATCTGTAAATGTTTAATACGATCTAACTGTTTTTTGAACGTTAGTCCATAACTGCTCAATGCATAGTTGATTACAGAGGCATCCAGTGCATACAGAATACGTATAAGACTTTTCGATTCATGAAATTGCTTAGGTGGAAGAATCTACCCAGTATTGATTGCAATTTATAACATACACCATTGACGTGCAGTTTCCAGTACATATTACTATCTACTGCCAGGCCTAAGTATCGGTATTTATCTACTAAATCTATGTTTGTGCACTACCAGCCAGCTTTATTGAGGTGTAGACACTCGTATGTATGACCAGTTATATTTATGTTTAATTTACCTTGCTTAAAGACGTTATTGTGGGGTGAACTTATATACATACCCGTGTAAATTATCCATGCGGTCGGAGCTAAGTTTTGCAAGACGCGCCGCAGATGAACATCAAAAACTCTCCGATTACACTTTTAATCTCATGGCTGTTAGACGAAAAATGAAGCTGCAGCCTTCAGTAGATTTGACAGCATACAGGCAACTGAACAGACTGATCTTCAAATGCATGCGGCGGGACTTACGCAACTTTAATACTGCTCGTATTGAAGAAGCGATCGAGCGGAACCAGGGCTCCAAAGTCTTTTCCAGAGATCTGTCTGCCAGAAAGAGCCAACTCTCGAAGCTGAAGAACGAATGTGGCATCATCGCTTCCGGGACACCTGAGATTTTGAGTGAGATTGAGAGGTTCTATGGGCAGCTGTACACGTCATCATTGGAGCCACTCGCAAGTGTGAGTAACGATCCCAGAGTAAGTCTTATCCGACACTATTTCGATGATATCCCGGATGTCAGTCTGAGCGAGATTAGAATGGCCCTCCAGCACATTAAAAACGGCAAGGCCCCAGGCGAGGATGGAATTACAGCGGAGCTTCTGAAAGCGGGTGGAAAACCGGTACTTGAAGTCCTTCAGAAGGTCTTTAATTCCGTCCTCCATGGTGGCACTACTCTGGAGACGTGGAACACGACGAAGGCGACAACGATCTTGAAGAACTACAGATGATTGCCCTTCTGAGCCGCGTCTACGTGCTGTTTTGGAGAGTCATTACGAATCGTCTCGCACGCAGACTCGACGACCTCCAGCCTCCCGAATAAGCCGGTTTCCAATAAGGCTTTAGCACCATAGACCAATACATATGCTTCGGCAAATTATACAGAAGTCCGAGGAGTACAATTTGTCACTATGTCTGGCGTATGTGGACTATAAGAAAGCCTTTGATTCCGTCGAAATTTGGGCGGTGCTGCAGTCCCTTCAGCGGTGCCAAGTTGACTGTCGGTATATCGAAGTGCTGAAGTGCTTGTACAGTAGGGCTACGATGGCTATCCGAGTACAGAACCAGAGTACGAAACCTATTCAATTGCAGAGAGGTATAAGACAGGGTGACGTTATATCCCCGAAACTTTTCACCGCTGCATTGGAAGACGTTTTCAAGCTAATGGACTGGTAAGGATACGGTATTAACGACAATGGCGAGTACATCGCTCACCTTCGATTTGCCGACGATATAGTCCTTATTGTAGAATTGCTGGAGGACGTACGCACTATGCTCAATGACCTCAATAGTGGACAAAACAAAAATTACGTTTAACGTCCATGTCACACCTATGCCGGTAGTAGTTGGGAGCACTAAGCTCGAAGTTGTTGACGAATATGTTTACCTGGGACAAAGAGTCCGACTACGTAAGTCCAACTTCGACCGAGAGGTCGATCGACGGATTCAACTCTGCTGGGCAGCGTTCGGGAAATTACGATACATCGTCTCGTTAGGTATACCTCAAAATTTAAAAACAAGACTGTACAACCAGTGCGTGTAGCCAAAGATGACCTATAGAACTAAGACGTGGTCCTTCACTGCTGGCCGTATGATGTAGCTCAAAGTCGCTCTGCGAGCTATGGAGAGGGCTATGCTCGGCGTTTCTCTGCGTGATAGACTTAAAAACTTAAAACCGAGGATGTTTTTTTTTTGTTTTTTTTTTTTAAAAACGTTACCCCCACACTAGGATTTTCTCCTGTATCGTGGAGGCAGTTTACAAACACAAATTTCACAAGGACAAACATCCAGACCCGGAACAATCATTTGTAGGCCATACAAATACTTGTTCCGTGCGGGATTCGAACCCGCGCCCCCCAGCGCAGCAACTCATTGCTAAGCCACTGCGCCACGGAGCCGTCAAAGATATCGGCAGGAGAACCAGAGTAATCGACTTGGCCCAAAGAATTAGTATGCTGAAGTGGCAATGGGCCGGCCATATAGCTCGAAGAACCGACAACCGATGGGGAAGAAAGGTTCTCGTGTGGCAGCCTCGTATCGGCAGGTAAAGTGTAGGGCGTCCCCCCACTAGATGGAGTGACGGCCTGTAAGACATGCAGGAAGTCGATGGATGCAGGTGGCTCAGGACCGTGCTTTGTGACATCCTTAGGGGAGGCCTATGTTCAGCATTGGACTTGTGAAGGGTTGTAATGATGATGATGATAATCACATCTTGTAGGTAGGTACATCTTGAAGGTAGTGACATAATCCCGTTGGTGTATGGTTCCAGAACGAACGGGTCGGCTCGATCGGTGAGGGACCACGCTGTCATAGAATATCAGCGTAAAATAACAGCTTAATGCTCTTGTGTTATTACGAGTGTAGAGAACCAGTGACTCCTTTTACTGGATTTTAGTCATCAGAGGTGACAACGCATCTGCATTTTGATTATTAATTGAGAATAAATTATTTGTCTATGGGCCACAGCATCCACTAATCAACAGGTAGGTTGGATGGGGTTTGTCACCCTTATTCTATAAAAAAAGGTTCCACTTACCATCAGGGGAATTGCATCCTTTACTTCTAAATAAAACCATTCGTCGATCGAAGAAATAAATGGCGCCAGTCGTAATGTCCCAATTTCACACAAAAAATGTGTGTTGTTGAACCCGTCACGAAATCGCTTAGTCCGAGGTGTCGATTTCCATTTGTTGTTGATGTTCTATAAATGCTATTATTATCGAGTACAGCTACATTTGCATCGTTCACTACTCTTGCATAATTATATTGGTTCTAATAAAAACATGCACGTGTAATTTTTAGGGTTCCGTACCTCAAAAGGAAAAAACGGAACCCTTATAAGATCACTTTGTTGTCCGTCTGTCTGTTTGTCAAGACCCTTTTTCTCAGGAACGCGTGGAGGTATCAAGCTGAAATTCATATCAAATACTAACGTCTACTGTCCCTTGAAGCTGTGAAAAAATCAAACTTCTAAGCCAACGCAATCAAAAGATACAGCCGTTTATGCCGCAAATTTTCGACATTCGCAAGGGAATCAAAACCTACAGGGTACTTCCCGTGAACTCAGAATCTTAAAATTTGGTACGAAGCAACGTATTATAGCACAGATAAAGGACAAATTGCGAAAAGCATAAATTTTTAGTTACATCATATAATAAAAATATTTTTAATAATTTTAAACTTATATACAGCCTACGGTTTTGTTCGGAACGCTCGGTGCGCGAGTCCGACCCGCACTTGGCCGATTTTTTTATTTAGATATTTATTAGACTTTGCTTAGCTCAAGTGGAATGACATTCAGTATTAGTAATTATTATTATTACATCTCAAAGTTCAAAGTCATCACTATAATAACTCTATACCACGAGTAACTTACGTATTTAACTGGTGTGGCTACTGGGTTGGGGGGTGTTTCTTGAAAAAATACTTTAACAAGGCAAACAATACAACATTTACCTACAGGCGCTATTATTTATTCTGTGCCAGATAGGGTTACCAGCTCCGGTTTTATGTTTTAGAGAATTTGATCAGATTCAATAAAGGACATAGGGTATCATGTAATATTCCTGTAAATTCTGTTATAGTATCAGTAGCAACATTTAGTAATACAAAAACAATGTTAATACACAAT